AACATACATGTTCTTCCTGTAATTGAACCAGCAACTCTACTTTTGAACATTAAGCCTAGAGAAACAAAACTTTATAAAAGTGCACATTCATGTACAAAATGTGTATATGAATGTTCACAGTAGCTTTATTTATAACAGCCAAGAACAGGAAACAAACCAAATATTCTTCAATTAGTTAAACAAACTGTGATATATCCATACCATGGAATACCATTTGGTAATTAAAAGGAACAAACTACTGATACATGCAACAACTTGGGGTTTGTTCAAAACCTCAGAATCTTCCTTGGTGAAATCTGGAACTGGTCTCCATACATAGAGAGAAACGGAAGAAAGAGGCAGTCACTCCAAGTGGTGGGTGGTAATTTCAATAAGCAAGGGAATTTACATAGGAGGCTTGCCTTGGGCAGCTACCAGATGACTAAATCTCTGCACACCCACCAGAATCTTAACAGCTTATTCTTGTTGCTGTTCAGTCGCTAAGTCATGTCTGACTCTTTATGACCCCATAGATGGCAGCATGTCAGGCTTCCCTGTCCTTCACCATCTCCTGAAGTTAGCTCAAATTCATGTCCATTGAGTCAGTGATGCCATCCAACCACCTCATCCTTTGTTGCCCCCTTCTCCTCCTGCCAGCAATCTTTCCCATCATCAAGGTCTTTTCCAATGAGGCAGCTCTTCACATCAGGTGGCCAAAGTATTGGAGTTTCAGCTTCAGCATCAGTCCTTCCGATGAATATTCAGGGTTGTACAGAGGCTGTAACTGAGTTCAGTCACGATCTAATCTTGATGGTCTCAGCAACACCTTACTCTTCTAAGGCTGCTTAGAAACAGCTCCTACTGTGCAAACAGTGGGCAGAATGTACACTCCAAGGACAGGGGAGGGGTTGAGGAGCCTCCTGTTGCCCAGGTCCAACCCTTGGGTCACATCTTCTTTGATGACCTCCTCCAACACTTGAGTGGCTCTCAAGGGAATTAGGATAAGGCAATGGCAACCCACTCCAGTCCTCTTGCCTGGAAAATCCCATGGACAGAGGAGCCTGGTAGGCTGCAGTCCATGGGGTCGTGAAGAGTCGGACATGACTGAGCGACTTCACTTTCACTTTTCACTTTCATGCATTGGAGAAGGAAATGGCAACCCACTACATTGCCCTTGCCTGGAGAATCCCAGGCACAGGGAAGCCTGGTGGGCTGCCATCCATGGGGTCGCACAGAGTCGGACACGACTGAAGCGACTTAGCAGCAGCAACAGAGGTAGGAAAGAGGTAGGTGTGGCTATATGAGGGCAACTTGGGGGACCCTTGGGCTCGGACTGCTCTGTGCCTTCAATGTGACATTGGTCACATGATGCACACTTGTGACAGTACTGCACACACACAAGTGCATGTAAAACTGGTAAAATGTGAACAAGGTCAGTGAACTGTATCAATGTCAATTTCCTGGTTGTGTTATTGTACTGGAATTATGCAAGATGTTCTCACTGGAGGCAACTGGGTGAAGTATACACAGGATCTCTCTGTATTAATATTATTTCTTAGAACTGTGGGTGAATTTACAGTGATCTTCTTAAGCTTTTTCAAATAAAGAAATGTAAAAGAGAAAAATATATAGTCTATTCCCATTTTACAGATGAATGAAGGAACAAGAAGTAAAGAAATTTACACAATATTACACTGTAGTCTTTTAGTTAGGAGGTAGGTCAAAAATAAGACTTAGGCCTCTGAATTTCCACTATGCCACAAACCTTAACACAAGTAATAAAAAAAAGCCATCACTACTGTCCCACCCCTATTGGGGGATTAAAATAATAAAGGCATCTTTAAGCAGCTAAAAATGTAGTTTAGGATATACAGAATAATATTAAGGGAATAAGTGAGTACTACATTTAAGTATTATATAGCTCTAATTTAAATATAATAAGAATACATATAATAAGAACTCAGAGAAAAAAGGTACAGACATTTGTCACACTATTCTACTGCAAATCTGAACAAATCCTCTGTGTTATATATAACACACAGGAAAGAGACTTCTTATTCAGATTTACCTCCAACTATGTTCTACGCTTAGAATACCGTGTTACAGGCAGAAGATGGACTACCACAGATGTTAACCACAGGCTACTGGTTACCAGATACCCCTGCGTTACCCTGCCTCCACCCTCCTCGGTGACAAGTCCAGCAACACAAAACATCCCAGAAAAGAAACACGCCCTTTTGGTCACAGAAATAAGCCACATGCAACAAACGAATCCAGCCCATCCGAAGCAGAATTCATTACTTCTCTCAGACTCAAGATTTAAATTTATTACTATAACAATCTGTGGCCCAGAGATGAAGACAAAGGCGTTACCCTGCAACAGAACACTATAAAGAACTGAGGCGTGGTGCCCCTGCACAGGGCGCGGACTAAATTTGCACTGCAGTGAGTTCCAAAAATGACTTTTTAACACTGAAATTCTTTTAAAAAAATTTTTATTTATATATTTGGCTGTGTCAGGTCTTATTTGCAGCATGCACAGCCTTTTAGTTGCAACATGCAGGACATTAGCTGCAGTATGTGAACTCTTAGTTGAGGCACCTGGGATCTCGTTTGCTAACTTGTTTAGTCGCTAAGTTGTGTCTGACTCTTGAGACCCCATGGACTGTAGCCCGCCAGGCTTCTCCGTCCATGGGATTTTCCGGGCAAGAATACTGGAGTGGGTTGCCATGCCCTCCACCAGGGGATCTTCCTGACCCAGGGATCAAACCCTCCTCTCCTGCGTCTCCTGCATTGGGAGGTGGAGTCTTTACCGCTGAGCCCCCTCCCCGTCCCCCGGTGGGTGGGTGGGTGGGGGCGGCGCGGGCAGAGCCAGGGATCAAACCCAGACGCCTGCATTGGAAGTGCGGAGTCAGCCATTGGATCACCAGGAAGTCCCCAATAATGATTTAGATTATGGTAATGATGTGGATTTTCAGTCTCTATTTACCTGGCTCTGAAGGTGATAACTTTCAAGTTCTCAGGATGAAGATGAAAACTTTTATGATATTTTTGTTACCATTTTGAGAGCTTGTTATATAGCTTAAGTGTTCACTGAAATACATTTCTTTTTAGAAATCCATTTTTCTTTCCCAATAAAAGATATGCTTTTACTGTACCATGAGTGGCACACCAGGATTCCATTCCATTTGTTCTACTATGTTTCACATCAGTTTTTCCCGAAATATTTTTTTGAAAAAATTTTTTGCATTCATATTCAATGGTAACTAGGACTTTTCTCAAATTTTTTTGTAATTTTGCTGACTTTGTACCTTTATATTTGCTTTTCAGTCATGTAGTGGATAAAAATGCATTCTTAGAGACTGACTATTGTTGTGGCTTGCTCTTAAATTACAGCCCCATTATTTGTTTTATATAACGTGCATGGCATGGACTTAAACTCACCAGAAAGTTGTCTTTTCTGGTTGTTTGCATTCTCTAAAATAGAAACTTCCCTGTTCACACTTTTTTTTTTTTTTTTTCAGAATCATAGGCCATCACAATCTTTCCACAGCTTATTATTTCTTTATTTATGTGAATACATCTTAAAAATCATGTACAATATGCACATGGGATAAAAGTACTTAAAAACCCCTCTCCTGCCCCCCCTTCAAAAAAGTCCTTATAAAACTGAAATGCTGCTCACAGGATGACATGTCACCAGCAAATTCAGCAAAACCAATGATGTCTGGCACTAAGGCTGGCCGCCACCACCCTGTCCTTGCACCAGCCTCCTTCCTGTCCCCTGGTCTCTGCATTTGCTCTGTGCTTCTCACTGTTGTTTTGTTTTGCTTTTTATCTAGGGGTGTCATTCTCCTCCTTCTCTACTTTACAATCTCTTTCTCAGGCTTTAGACTTAGTTCTAACATCATTTACCCCAAAGCCTTTATGAGCTCCCCTGAGCAGTTAACTTCCCCCTTTCTGTGTTCCCAGAACCCATCGGAGCTCATTACTGCAGAACTCAAAAGGCTGGGCTGTGAATGTCACAAACATGTCTGTTTCCCCCATTTGACAGGAACGCCTCAGGTGGGGACCATGGGAAGGCGCCTGACATAGAACAGGTGTCAAAGTGAGCAAGCTGGCTTCCTGATCGGCCCCGGCCCTCGGCCTGCTGGTGTGAGCTATTGTTTCATTTTTGGAAAACAGGGGCAAGTTTATTCTCATGATCTAGGGAAAAGGCACGAGCCAAGTACACAGGCTGGGACTTTTTATTTTTCCAGCTGATCCAGGCAGTGATCTCTCAGGACTCCCATTTAGAAGTAAGAGCTTAGACAGAAAATCCATGTTTGCTCAGAACCCTTTATGTTAGGAGCCCTGTGAGGGTAGGACTTGTTTTTCTGGTAGGTGAATCTAGAGGGCAATACAAGTTGGATAGCAGTATCTAAGGAAAGAATCCAGTGTCCCTGGTCTTGAAAACACACTCTTTTATAAGTCTGGTGTACTCTGGACACTAAGGTTAGAATATCATCTCTTGGATCTTTAAGATCTGCCCTTGAGAAGGAAGGGCAGGAAAACAACATGGAGCTTTGCGGACAAGAACCCTTAGACAACTGTTGAGGATGAATCAAGTCATTTGGGGGTGCACTTCCATCCTGGTGTACACATGGTAAAAACAATAAGTCTAACAATGATAGTGCAGCTATGCCACATAAATCAATTTTTAATATAGGAAGTTTCTACTGCTTTGGCCAATAAACTTCAACAATTTCTGTTGTACGTTTCTTGGAAATGCATTAGTTACTTTCTTGTTTTTCTACTGAACAAACTTCCCTTGATGGTACAATGTCATAGAAAGACTATAAAAAACTGTAACATGGAGTCATATGCTCTCAGGAACTCCTTGCAACCATATTAAATGACTCCAGAGTTTTAAAACTATTTCATGTGCTCACTTGCACAGTGTTTTAAATATAGATTCCATATGTCCCATCAATGTCAGTTATACGCCTGCTGCTCTGAGGACACTGACTGTTAATGGAGAGATGTACTGTCTTGCTACTTCCCAGGTTTTCATTGGCTGTGGGCCAAGAAACCTCACAGACTTCCCAGGTGGTTCAGTGGTAAAGAATCTGCCTGCCAACGCAGGATACGCGGAAGACTCAGGGTTGTCGGAGGAGGAAATGGCAATACACTCCAGTATTATTGCCAGGATAATCCCATGGACACAGGAGCCTGGTAGGTTACAGTCCATGGGGTCACAAAGAGTCAGACATGACTGAAGCGCCTGAACACACACATGCAAGAAACCACATTTTTGGGGACTGGATATTAAGACTGAGTAAGGCAACAGGCTCGTGTTTCTCACTAGACTGAATATTCCTAGAAAATAACTAATCATTGCTACCTTTGAGCCCCCAAAATGTCTAGCATGGTATTTTTATACCATGGCCCTAAGCAAATGTTTTCTGATTTGAATTAAACAAGTATGAGCTATGTTTTTTTTACATCTACTTCAGCTCCTCAAGCATTGTTAGCTTAATTTTTTTTAAGGTAGGTTGCCAAGAACAGAATTTGCAAGATAAGTGATCTCCCTATAAATGACATTATTCTTGTGGTCCAGAAACATAAACACAGCAAGGTGAAGGATCAGTGTAATTCTAGATGATTATTAGTTCCTTCTTTTGTCTTATGGGGACTTTTGAATTATCAGGATAAGGACTGCTCCTATGATGTGAAAAAGTTACATAAAACCAAAGATTATTTTAGCAGTTTTATGGAAAAAAGACTTTAATGAGAAGGGAATGGAAGCAACGAGGATACTACAGGAATGAAGACAGTGATTTTTAGGGAAGAGAAAAAATGGTAGAAAAAAATAAATAGGATCTGGTAATAAATAAATAAGATACAGAGAAGGAAGGTGGTAGAGGAAAAACAGAAAATGGTTGTACATTGGCGCAGGATCCCCAAGGCGAGGCGGAAGCCGCGCGGCAGCCTGAATGCGCGCGGAGCCTCCGGACCGGCAGCGTTTGAGCCGCCATCATTGTGCGGAAGCTTAAGTTTCACGAGCAGAAGCTGCTGAAGCAGGTGGACTTCCTGAACTGGGAGGTCACAGACCACAACCTGCATGAGCTACGCGTGTTGCGGCGTTATCGGCTGCAGCGGCGCGAGGACTATACGCGCTACAACCAGCTGAGCCGTGCTGTGCGCGATCTGCCGGAGCGTGACCCGTTTCGCGTGCGCTCCTCGGCCGCGCTGCTGGATAAGCTGTATGCGCTCGGCCTAGTGCCCACGCGGGGGTCGCTGGAGCTCTGCGATTTCGTCACGGCCTCGTCCTTTTGCCGCCGCCGCCTGCCCACGGTGCTGCTTAAGCTGCGCATGGCTCAGCACCTCCAGGCCGCTGTGGCATTCGTGGAGCAGGGCCACGTGCGCGTGGGCCCCGACGTGGTCACAGACCCCGCCTTCCTTGTCACGCGAAGCATGGAGGACTTTGTCACCTGGGTTGACTCGTCCAAGATCAAGCGGCACGTGCTGGAGTACAATGAGGAGCGTGACGACTTCGATTTGGACGCCTAGCGGATGTCCCCTCGCCAGGACTGCATTTTGTAGATAGGGAAGCTGAGACACAAGCTTGAGATTCTGTGAAGGCGCGTCTCCGCAAGAGTGTATCAGCCAGTCGTCGGTTCTTAAGAACTTGCCTCCTCAGCTACAGGCCACGCGCGGAGCCAAAGGGTACGCCCTTTTCCACGAAATTTTCTTAGCTCTTGGACAATTGGTAATTCAGTGACTGCCGTAAGAAACAATAGGAAGCGGTTTTGTGCTGCACTGGGGAATTGTTATGTTCTTGTACCTGAAACATTGCGGTGTGAATGCAAGGACTTGGGATGGGGGAGGGCCTACCCTCGCCCCCAGCTTTCCTTTCGTTTCTTTGTAACAGGAAGTGTGGTTTAATTTATTTAACTCGAATCCTTGCTCTTGTTCCTGATTAAACTATATAGATGTTGTAGAGGTTGGTCTCAAGTTTTCATAAAATGGATAAGATTTTAGTGTTCAAGGTTCTTTCTCTTGTTTAAAGGAATGCTCTCCTAATGCCAATAAATGACCTACCTGCTTTATAAGTGCAAAAAAAAAAAAAAAAAGAAAGAAAATGTTTGTACAATGGTATGCTTATTCTTTCATTTTCCGAACATATTAACATTTATTGAGCACCCACTCCTACTCGAGTAAGTTTAGTGGGGTCTAGTACCACTAATAATGGAGAAAATCAGAATCAAAGGGTGGTTTTGGAGGAAGGGAAGACAATGATGGCCTGGAAGTTACTGGGAAACAAAATAAGTATCACTAGTTCAACATGGGTAAACAGAAGACTAAAGCAAGAATAAGTCATAGTTGAACATGTAAACATGAAAATCTACAAATATATGGCAGATGAGACAAAAATGGGGAGAATCAGAAAGAAAGAATTCGAAGTCATTTATGAAGTCATCTTGAAATAGTCATTTAACATCTAGCCAGGGTTGCCTTGTGATTTAATTGAAATGATAGTGACTATCAAAAACATAAGAAATACAAAAGGTACTGTACGTGAAATGTACTAAATAGTACAAAGTTTTGCACAACAAAAACTATAAGCAAGGTGAAAAGACAGCCCTCAGATTGAGAGAAAATAATAGCAAACAAAGCAACAGACAAAGGATTAATCTCAAAAATTTACAAGCAACTCCTGCAGCTCAATTCCAGAAAAATAAATGACCCAATCAAAAAATGGGCCAAAGAACTAAACAGACATTTCTCCAAAGAAGATATTCAGCATCGAAACATGTATATTATCTATGGTGAAACAGATCACCAGCCCAGGTTGGGTGCATGAGACAAGTGCTCGGGCCTGGTGCACTGGGAAGACCCAAAGGGATTGGGTGGAGAGGGAGGTGGGAGGGGGGATCGGGATGGGGAATACATGTGCATCCATGGCTGATTTATGTCAATGTATGACAAAACCCACTACAATCTTGTAAAGTAATTAGCCTCCAACTAATAAAGATAAATGAAAAAAAAATAAATTAAAAAAAGTAATAAAAAGTTAAAAAAAAAAGAGTACAAAGCACTATGGAGATATAAGACACAGTATATATTTCGGTCACAAATGCAAGGGTAAAAAGAAGGACAAATGTATTCATTCCCAATAAATGTTTACTTTCAAAAGTAAAGTCTTCTCTTCCAAGTGAAATGCTCTGAGTCCTGTATTTTTCTCTGTACTTCCCAGCACCTTCCTGTTAATTCTGCTAACTTTGGAAAAAGGACACACTGCTTGGCAAAGCACAGATGAGAGGGGCCTGCCTAAAAAGAGCTCTCTTTTGCAACTCACTGGGCACTATACAGCAAGAGAATATCCTTAGAGAGACTTACCTAATTTTGATGTTGACATCATAGTTTGAAAAACTAACTTCAAAACAAGGCTTTAAAATGGCAACATTGAAGTGGAATTTCTTTAAATAGCTCCAATCCCATTTCTCTTCTTAGTAAACTAGAAGCATGAATACCATTTGCTACTTGATCCCTGGCCACTAAGCTTAAGTTTAAAATTCCACTCCCTTTGCTTGGAACAGAAATTTTACAAAATAAAAATAAAAAGGTCGAGGGCAAGAGGGGAATAGGTGTCAGCAAATATGAGCTTAGACTGGCTTTGCAACTTAGCAAATTATTAACCACTGCCCGGTTTCTACACTTGTGAACTAAAACCATAATATGAGTTTTACACTTTCACCATCCTTGCACTTGTCATTTCATATTATAATTATTTATTGGTTTGTCTCTTTCTCCCACTAAATTGAATATTTCATGAGGACCACACCTTTCTTGTTAAATAGTATATTCTCTGCATTCAGCAAAGGGACTGTGCAGAGTAAACACAAAATGAACGCAATGTTTGGATAGTTCCAGAAAAAAGTAGTAACAGAGGAAATCTATTTAATTATTAATCCAGTCTCTTAATTGTCTTTTGATGGTCATACATATTTAAATTTTATAAAGTATAATTAATTGTTTTTTCTTTCGTATCTCAAAAGTCGTTGCCTACCTTGAGGTTGCAATGATTTTCTATTTTCTTCAAGAAGTTTTATAAAGTTTTGGTTTTGATATTTATGTTTATGTTTCATTTTGGAATAATTTTTGGGTATGGTGTAAGGTAGGCATAGAGGTTTTATCTTTTCTTTCTAGGGCCATGAAAAGACTTCGCCACTGAATTTCTTCAGTGCCTTTTAAACCATTTCTGTGTGGGTCTATATTTGGCCTCTCCTCTGTTGCATGAATCTACCTTTCTATCTTACAGTACACCAGTAGCACACTACTTGGATAACTCTCACTTCAGCAAGCCCTGAAATCAAGTAGAATAAGTATTGCAATTTTGTTCTTATGTTTCTTTTGTTTCCATAAACATTTTCTATTAGCTTGTGAATTTCTACAAAAATTTCTGCTGAGAATTTCATTGGGATGGCATTGAATCTATAGATCAATATGTGGAGAATTGACATCTTAACCATACTGAATTCTCTAACTGAACGTGGCATATCAATTCATTCGTTTAGGTATTCTTTAATAACTCCCATCAATGTCTAGTAGATCTTGCACATAAAAGTAGTAGTGAAAGTCATTCAGTCCTGTCCAACTCTTTGTGATCCCATGGGCTATACAGTTCATGAAAGTCTCCAGGCCAGCATACTGGAGTGGGTGGCCTTTCCCTTCTCCAGGATCTTCCCAGCCCAGGGATCAAACCCAGGTCTCCCGCATTGCAGGTGAATTCTTTACCAGCTGAGCCACAAAGGAAGCCCAGGAATACTGGAGTGGCTAGCCTATCCCTTCTCCAGTGGATATTCCCAACCCAGGAATTGAACTGGGGTCTCCTGCATTGCAGATGGATTCTTTATCAATTGAGCTATCACTGGGATGGCACTAAATCTATAGATCAATATATGGAGAATTGGCATCTTAACCATATTTAATTTTCTAATTGAACATGGCATATCAATTCATTCACTTAGGTCTTCTTTAATTACTCCCATCAATGTCTAGTAGATTTCACACATAATTTTTGCACATTTTCATTAATTTTATTCCCAAGTGTTTAGATTTTGACACCACCGTAAACAGTTTTTTAAATTTCATTTTTCCAGTGAAGTACACACAACTAATTTTTGTAAACTGACCTTGTATACTAAGTTCACTGATTAGTTCTGGTAGTTGTGTTAGGATTTTCTCTGAAGATGGATCATATCATCAACACATAGAAACAGTCTTATTTTCTCTTTTTCCCTAATCTCTATGCCTTGCACTTATTTTTCTTCACTTACCACACTGGTTAAACCTCCAGCACTATGTTGAATAAAGGAATTAGCACACACATCTTTGTCTTGTTCCTCATAGTGGTGGAGGAAATTATCTTTTGCTATTAAGTGTTAAGATGTTACAGGTTTCTTATATATGCTGTTTATCAATTTGAGACTTTCCATCCTTATTTGTTGAGAGGTTTTTCTTTTTTAAATCATGAATAGGTGTTGAATTTTGTTTTCTCTGCATCTATTAACATAATCATGTGACTTTTTCCTTCCTATCTAATATAGTAAATTATACCAATTGATTTTCAAGCATTTAACCAAAATTACATTTATGAAAGGGAAAAAAAAACTTTGGTCATAACCTATTTTCCATTTCTATATGACTAGATTTGATTTGCTAACCTTTTGCATAGTATTTTTGTGTCATGTATAATAAGAAAGACTAACATGTTATTTATTTATGTTATTGTATGTTTTTAGCATTAGAGTTATGTTGACCCCATAAAATTTATTGGGAAGATTCAATCTTTTTCTTTTTTGGTAAAGGCTTTTATAAAACTGAAAGTGAAAGTGAAGTCACTCAGTCATGTCCAACTCTTTGCGACCCCCTGGACTATAGCCCACCAGACTCCTGTCCATGGGATTCTCCAGGCAAGAGTACTGGAGTGGGTTGCCATTCCCTTCTCCAGGGGATCTTCCCAACCCAGAGACTGAACCCGGATGTCCCACATTGCAGGCAGATTCTTTACCATCTGAGCCACCAGGAAACTGTACCTTTGTAAGATTAGTATTACATATCTCTTTCTTAAATATTTGACAGATTTCACTAGTAAAGCATTCAGGTCTGGAGTTTTCCATGTGCAAAGGTTCTCAATTATAAATGCCATTTCTTTAACAGATGGTAGGTTATTCAAACATCCTGTTACTTTTAGTGGTCAGTTTTGTTAATTTGTCTTTTTCAAGGAATTTACCCATTTCATCCAAGCTGTCAAATGTATTGGCATAAAGTCCTCTACTAACACCAAGTAATATGTCGTAATTATTCTTTTAAAGTCTGTAGCTCCGTATGACACCCTGTCTTTCATTCTGGATTCTGCTTTCTCTCTTTGCAAAATCTTTACAAAACTAGGAATTTATCAATTTGATCTCAAAGAATCAGCTCTTGGCTTCATAGATTTTCTCTATTGTTTTCTACTTATTTCACTGATTTCCTACCATATCTTGTTTCTTCCCTCTTCTTTTTCTAGCTTCTTTGGATGGAAGATTAGATCACTGATTTAAAGCAATATATTTCCCTCTAAGCAGTGATTTAAGTTCTGCAAACTTTGATAGGATACATTTTAATTTTCAATTAAAGTTCTTTTCTAATTACAATTGTGATTTCTTCTTTCTTCCAAGTGATTATTTAGAAGAATACTGATTGATTTTCACATATTTGGGGATTTTCTAGTTTTTTTAATTGATTTTCAAATTTAATTCCATTGTGGTCAAAGAATATACTCTGTTCGATTTCAAGCCTTTGAAATTTACTGAGACTTGGCTTTGCCCCCATGATATAGTGTATCTTTGTAAATATTTATCATACAATTAAAGGCAGTATTTATATTTCAATTATTCAGTGTGGGGATCTATAAATGTTAAATAGGTTAAATTGGTTGACAGTACTGTTCAAACAGTCTATATTCTTACTTTTTTTGCTATCAACCATCAATAAATGAGAGAGTAATTAAAATATTCAGCTATACTTGTAGATTTGTCTATTCCTCTCTTTTTGATTCTATAG